CTGCCTCCAGGGTTCAAGCCATTCTCCTGCCTCAGCCTCCCAAGTAGCTGGGACTACAGGTGCGTGCCACCACACCCAGCTAATTTTTTTGTATTTTTAGTAGAGACGGGGTTTCACCATGTTGGCCAGGATGGTCTCGATTTCTTGACCTCGTGATCTGCCTGCCTCAGCCTCCCAAAGTGCTGGGATTACAGGTGTGAGCCACCACGTCCGGCTGGTCACTGGCTTTTAATACTTTACTTAACCACTCAGTCAGTACTGAAACAATTGTTAGTGAGGTCTGGCCTGCCACAGTATTACAGATACAATAGTATCGAGCAAAGCTAACTAAATTGACTAGATTGCTTTTGTAATTGCAGATTGATGACAATCAGATTCACTTAGAATGGAAAAAATATGTTGGCCCTTATAAAATAGTCATTAGAAGGCCTATGTGCGTCATAGAACCTCATGCGTCTTCTGCTACTAACGTCTAACATTACTAAATTCAACAAGGCTTTAATGCATTATGGCAGACCACATTTTCACCAGGTGAAGAAAGCCTTTACTAGTCTACTGACTGAGGAGAGTAAAACCCTTTATAATCAAGAACCCAGAGATTGAATCTGCCTGCCACCTACACTGAAGCAAGACTTCAAGACCTTGAACATTGGATTGATAATCTCACAACTTAGAAGAGCCCCTCCAAACTCTTGCAATTGTAAACCCACAGGAGATGTTAAGGTACAGCTAACCAGGAAAGTTTGTCCTCAAAAGCAGATGGCCGTCTCCATGTAGATAGCTTTTTTCACAAGATCAAAAATCAAGACATCTCGTTATCATGACACTCTTAGTTCACAGTTTGTTTATGGTTCTACAGACAACAGAAATTTTAAAAAGTGGTCTCTTGTGTGCACTCATGGGGGTATACTTACATGTAGAGAATTTTGCAGTCAACATTATATATGAGGAAACTTATTCCTTGAAAGGTAAAAGAGGAAGGGCCAATGTGGGTGAGAAGTTTTAATGAAACATTTGTTTTCTCACAATACCAAAAACAGAATATTGGTCCACTGCTCTTAACCTATTTCATAAGTTAAAAAGAACTTATTCAGAATAGGTTAAAGAGCATTGCCCAGAGGCCATTACTCTTCTGAATGGGTATCATTGTTTAGAGTAAATGAGGCAATGGTTACAAATTTGTCCCTCTCAATAGGACTCTATAGCAAATTATCCATAAAGGCTATGCTTACACAAGAGACTTTAAATTTTCTCACAAAGTTGTGCCAAATATAATTTCTTTTGATTACTTACTGGATAAATATATATCTGTGCAGTCGCTAATAGTTGCCTATGGAGAACTACAGCAGGTATTATAGAGATGCAGTTGTAGATGATTCATGAACAGGCTGATTAGATGAAATGAGTAGACCATTTATCTAGCTAATTATTTGATCTATTTAATTTTAGTTGGTTGTTCATGGGGACCCTGGCTGAAAAGCATGCTTCAAACTCTTGGTATTATCCTCCTGATAGTCAAATTAGTAATCTTCCTACTGCATTCTCTCAAAAGATAAACTTTTGAATATAGTCATTTGTAGAATGTCAAATGGTCTCTCTTTAACTGGAATGACAGAAACTCAAAGATATATGTGACTATGAAGACACCACAACCTATGAATGACATGCTAAGGACAAAAAACAAAAATAGTGGAAACTGAGAGTGGCACTAAAGAACCGAGTTTTGGTCACACTGTGACCTATGTAAGAACTTAACCAAATAGGGGGAATTTTTTAAAGAAAACTATTGGAGGCCATAATTCTGGACGGAGCTTATGTACTAGGTCCAAACCAAACCAAAATGAGTCACTCATGCTAGATGTGACATAATTAAACTAAAAATTTAAGGCAATAGGTAGATTCTAAAACTGGCCAGGTTTTGTTTTTCTTCTGTAAATAGCAGATTTCAACACAAGGAAGTCCCCTGTACTCTAACACTTTAAAAAACAAATACAAATCATTTCAAAATAATAAGCTGAAGTTTTTATTTCCACTTTACAAACCCACAGTTCTGCTATTTCACAGTCAGATTTGAGTCCAAATAAGTACATTTTTGATGGTGACAAAGTGATATTAATGTCTAAAGTTTTGGTCTCAAACTTGAGAAGATGACAAAAGGGAGAAATTGTTAAATTAGTTATAGCCTAAAGCTTCCCTCTTTTATGTTTAATTTTGGTGAATAGGATTTGTTTTTTGTTTTTTTTTACATAGTAAACTTCATGTTCAAATAGGACAAATCTTAAGCTGTAATAAATCTGGCTGTTTCTGAACGTCACTTCCATTTTCTACATGTCATTTTGCTTTTCTAGTTCATAAATCTTTTACCAACATGTGGCTGTGCTGGGGTCTTTCCTAGCCTACTCTGGATCCATAGGTTACCCGATTTGCAAATCACGATTTGCTCACTTAAACTCTGTTAAATTTAATTTTTCTAAAGTTTTCTTCTTTTACAAATTTTCAAATTTTTTTTATGATGAAAATAAATAATGTGTTATTGAGCTTTGATTTTTCTAAACTCATTCCACAGCTATTTTCCCAAATAATAATAATAATTATTATTATTATTTTTGAGTCAGAGTCTCACTCTACCACCCTGGCTAGAGTGTGGTATAACTAATCGTGGCTCACTGAAGCCTTAATCTTCCAGACTCAAGCAATTCTCCTGCCCCAGCCACCTGAGTAGCTGGGACTACAGGCATGCAAAATCATGCCTAATTTTTAATTTTTTTTTTTCATGGACACTGGATCTCACTATGTTCCCCAGGCTGCTCTTGAACTCCTGCGCTCAAGTGATTCTCCTATTTCAGCTTCCCAAAGTGCTAGAATTACAGGTGTGAGCCACCATGTACTTCTGCAATTTCTTGACAAGATTATTCTCAATAATAAACAGTGCTATATGCACACAAATATAAAGGGAATCTGGCTTCTATTTTAGAAGTTTCACTCTCCAGGATTTCAAAGGTCTAGGGCAGCTACTTTAGTATTATAGTTTAATCTATGGAGGTGCATGGGCTTTGGAGTCAGAGACGGTTGATCCTGAAGGCGGGGTGCAATGGCTCACACCTGTAATTCCAGCACTTTGGGAGGCCAACACAGGTGAATTGCTTGAGGTCAGGTGTATGAGACTAGCCTGGCTAACATGGCAAAACCCCATCTGTGTTAAAATAAAAAAATTAGCTGAGTGTGGTAGTATGTGCCTGTAATTCCAGCTACTCAGGAGGCTGAGGCATGAGAATTGCTTGAACCCAGGAGGTGGATGGAGGTTGCTGTGAGCCAAGATTGTGCCACTGCACTCCAGCCTGGGCAACAGAGCAAGACTTCATCTTAAAAAAAACAAAAACAAAACAGTTGATACTGAGTCTCAACCCAGCCAGTTAGTAGCTGTGGTTATTTGGACAAGTTTCTTGATGCGAAAGAGGTTGTATGAACCACATATGCAAAAAAAGGCAGAATGACACTGATTGCAAAAATCGTAGCAAGTTTTCCTGCCTCCTATATCCATTGCCAGGTGCTTTCACAGCTGTTGCCATTGAAATACAGAATTTGTTTTCCAAACCATAGATCTGGCTGACCTTACCTGCTCAGGACAGTAGAAAGCTGTAAACATGATAATGTGCTAGTTTGGGGCCTAGGCTCGAATGGTCTTGAATCCTTCTGTTTTTCTTTCAGAATGCTGCCATCTCCATGATGGCCCATGTTAGCCAGGTGGAAAATAAGATACCATGGGGAGGAGAAGTAAGGTGCCCCTGTTGACAGTCCCAGAAGCAGAAGCTCACTCCCAGAAACACAGCTGCCTAGTGAAAAGACAGCTGATGATACATGTCTGGAGGAGCTCAGTTGAGCCCAGCCTAAATGGCTGAACATCTCAATTACAAGCAAATAAGTTTTGGATGGTTTGTTATGCTGCAATAGCTAACTAATACATGTACCCTGTGCAGATGGAATGCCAGGATTCAGTGACAGGTTGATTACTAGTTACCTTCTGACAGTGGACACCCTAAAGGTACTGACTTTTTTTTTTTTTTTCTCCTGATTTGAAGTTGTATGTCTCCTAAGACAATGTTGGGTAATGCAGAAATACAGGTAGACATGTATGTGTGTGATTGGTGCTTTTACTCACACAGTACCCCACACCACAGGAGAAAACAGATAATCACAGCCTGACCATTAGGGCCAAGGCCAAATAGCAAAATAAGTTTGCCTTTAATTTGTTTTCTTCATATCTAAAAGTTGGAGGTTAAGACTGTGTACAGACCTGAAAACAGAGTTTTCTTCTCCTGGGGCCCCAGAATCTTTTGTTCACTGTCTGATCTCTGAATGAAGGGTGGACCACAGGTGGCAAGCAGTGGTCTACCTGTGGTTATTTTATTCTTGCTGCCCTCTGCCCTTGCTATGGCCACTATCTGTCCCACCCTCAGAACTGAAGATAGATGTTAGTAGAGAGAAGCTGTCCCCTCACTTCTGGCAGAAAAGGGATGTTCAGGGCCTCCACCCACCTGACATCAGAGCTGCACTTTAACGTGGTAGCTGTTGGCCATGTGTGGCTCCTGGGTGCTTGGAATGTGCCTGGTCTGAACTGCAATTTGCTAGAAAAGTAAAATACAGAGTTGGTTTTGAAGATTTAGTTCCAAAAATATATATAGTGCCTTAATAATTACATATTGCTGTGAACCCAGAAAATCTGAGACAGGTCTCAGTTAATTTAGAAAGTTTATTTTGCCAAGGTTGAGAACACGCCTATGACATAGCTTCAGGAAGTCTTGAGGACACCTGCCCAAGGTGGTCAGGGAATATCTTGGTTTTATACGTTTTAGGGAGACTTGAGACATCAATCAACATATGAAAGAAGTACATTGGTTTGGTCTGGAAAGGTGGGACAACTTGAAGCAAAGGCAGGAAGACATGAAGCTGGAGGGAGCTTCCAGGTCACAGATAGGTGGTTACATTCTTTTGAGTTTGTGATTAGCCTTTAGTTTTCAGCTTGAGTTTTCCTTAGTAATTTTGGGGGCCCAACATATTTTCCTTCCACGTAGCTCACATATTAAAATGACAATATTTTAAACATATTGGGTTACATTATTACAATCAATTCCACGTATTTCATGTTTCTTTTTAAAGTTTGGCTACTAGAAAATTAAAAATTCACATGTGGCTCACATTTTATTTCAGAGGACTGCCTCCTTTTTAAAATGTTAGGCTGGGCCTGCTCAAAGGACCAGAAGCCAGGAAGGTGATAAAAGCTAAAATTTCAAAGTAATTGTTATTATATTATTTTCATCTGTGACTAGCCATATAGTATATTATTTATAAATGCCTATGACCTTATACACAAGGTTCAATGCAAACACCCTCTAGGGTGGGCCTGGCTCAGCTCAGAGGAAAGCCTGCCTGAAAACGCTATAGCTAGGCTGTTACTCTTCATTCAGCCCAGCAATTGATCACACCTTCTGTCACTCAGGGCCTGAGTGGGTGGGTCTTAAACAGCATCCAATCAGGGACGCTGGGCTGGGGACAATCCAATCAGGCACGCAGCTGGAGCGGACAGGACGGCTTCCGCAATATGGCGGGGCGTTTGGCTGTGGCTGTCTCCAGAGCTCCAGGTCTCGTCTTCATTTCTGTGTCTTTTGTTCCTAGAGGCCCAGCTTGTGTGACCCTGTGACCTGCAGATATTGGGCGATCCAGAGCTAAGACTCCAGGACCCCCTGGCAGTCTAGAAATGGTGAGTGCCGGGTCTGACATCCCGAGGCGGGGGAGGGGCTGGTCGGAACCGTGGGAAGTGGCTGTGGCGGACTTAGGTCTCCGCGCAGTCTGCTCCACCATCTGCGCCCGGAGTTCTCCTTGCCCAGCTGGGCCTCAGTCCCCTTCAACCATAAGATGGCGGCTGTACTGATAGCCGGGCGCTGGGCATCCTGTCTCTTCACTCCGTAGCGACTGTGCCCTGACCTGTAGCCCTGTCTGGGCAGCTCTGCACGCGCAATTCCGCAGTCTCTCCCAGATTGTGCAGGAACCACGGAGAGAATCGTGACTCGGGGTGCGGGTTCATGAGCGGGAAGAGCTTTGATCTGTGGGGTTCCCAGTTCCTATTTTCTCCTATTGAAAATCTATGGGAGTGGCCGGGGACGGTGGCTTACGCCTGTAATCCCAGCAGTTTGCTGGGAGGCGGGCGGATCACTGAGGTCCGGCATTCGAGAACAACCTGGCCAGCATGGTGAAACCCCGTCTCTACTAAAAATACAAAAATTAGCCAGGTGTGGTGGCAGGCATCTGTAATCCCAGCCATTCGGTAGGCTGAGGCACGAGAATCGCTTAAACCCAGGAGACCAAGATTGTGCCATTGCACTCCAGGCTGGTTGACACAATGAGACTATCTCAAAAAAAATAAATAAAAAATAAAGGGGAGTCACCGCAAAATATTAAATAATTTAATCAAAGAGTGGTTCTAAAATTGTAAAGCACCCAGCTGTGGGATGTAGTTTGTGGTCCTTTGGAGGAACTTGAATGAAAGACTGTGCATGATACAAAAACGCAAATTCAGTAATCGGTTAGGTAGAGTTACGTAGTTTCTTAATTTCCGTGTTGAGCATACAAACTTTCCTGGTTATGTAATCAGAGCTTAATTCCAGTTTATAGTTTGTTAACCCTGTATTTGTTTTCCCCAATGTAGTAATTTACAAAAAAAAATTTTTTTTTGAGTTAGTTTTTTTTTTTTTTTTTAAAGACAGAGTTTCGCTCTTCTTGCCCAAGCTGGAGTGCAGTGTCGCGATCTCAGCTCACTGCAACCTCCGCCTCTGTGTTCAAGTGATTTTCCTGTCTCAGCCTCCCGAGTAGCTGGGATTACAGGCAAGCACCACCACGCCCAGCTAATTTTGTATTTTTAGTAGAGACGGGGTTTCTCCATGTTGGTCAGGCTTGTCTCAAACTCCCGACCTCGGGTGATCCGCCCATCTTGGCCTCCCAAAGTGCTGGGATTACAGGCGTGGGCCACCGCGCCCGTCTTGAGTTAGATTTTTTAAAAGTAGGAATTCAGGGACTACGGCCACCTCAGTTGAATTGCCTACCATTTAACTATTTTCACTCCCTACACAAAAGTGATCTTCCCCTGCATTTTTCATAGGTGTTCTAAGCAGGTCTCAAGTCTGCCCCCAGGCCCCCTATTCCTCCAGCCTGACTCTGGTTTGCAGTAAAATACAGAATTTCCATTTCCTCCTGACAATCCCAAATGCCAACTCCCCCTCCCTAATTCACACTATTAACTATTTGTCCTGTTATGCCCAGACCGTTTGTTCCCCAAAGAAGACCTCCAGAGTCCAGAGTCAAAGCCAAGTGGCAAGGATCTTTACTACAAGTTCGAACCTGGTCCCTCCATTCCACAGGGTACAAGAGGGCCCTGAACAATGCAAGTGTTTGCTTTTTATAGCCCGACAGTTACAGGGGAACAAAGGAATTCTTTTGGTTCCCGCGCTTTCAGTGAAACTTTGAACGGCTGTCTCCTTATCGGAGACTTTCCAGGTGGTGTTTGTACTGGGCTCAGGAGGTTTGAGAGATATATGGCGATATGTGGTGGGATGGGAGGATGGGATGTGTTTGTACTGGGCTTGTTTGTTTTGAGCCCGGGGCTGAGGAATGTGCCCAGCTCCTTTCAGTCTTTCAGTGTACGTTTTTGATACCGTATTTTAATTAAACATTTTTTGACAAAGCATTGGATGGCACATTTAAAGAGATTTGTTTTCTGTTTATAAATATTTTCCATAAGAAGAAAGCAAGGAATAATTTTCTGACACTGTATTGTAAAACAATCTTTGTGTCTTTTCCTTTTATCTTCCCTTGGCGTAGAGATCTCATGGGACTGTTTTGGCATCAAGGTTTTTCTTGGAAGTTTTGTGGGGTGATGTGTCCTCAGCCACCGTTTAGTTTTTTTCCTGGTCCTGGGTTTCAGTACTGTCTGAATAAACCAAGGTATCAGTCATGGCTATGTCTGGGAGACTGTCTAATGAATATTAACTCCTGGGTCATTCTCTCCCATAGGACAACCTGTGGTATAGAGTGTAGCCTCTTAAGGGACCAGGTGGATGCCCTGGGGCTGAGAGGAATTTCCTGGTGTGCTCTTCCTTTGAAAACCTAACCCCTTCCGTTTGAATTGTCTTCGCCCAGCCCAACTTTCCTTTCTTGCAGACACATTGCTGGTCAGCCAATCAGATGCTGGTATTGAGTTGAAAACAGAAATAATTTCTGCCCCTGCCCCCTAGATTCTCTACAATTTGTGAAAAAAGAGTAGTATCTCTGCCAGGCACAGTGGCTCACGCCTGTACAAACTCAGCACTTTGGGAGGCCAAGACGGGCAGATCACCTGAGGTCAGGAGTTTGAGACCAGTCTAGCCAACATATTGAAACTCTGTCTCTACTAAAAATACAAAATTAGGAGGGCGTGGTGGTGCATGCCTGTGATCCCAGCTACTCAGGAGGCTGAGGCAGGAGAATCGCTTGAACTCAGGAGGTGGAGGTTGTGGTGAGCCAAGATCGTGCCATTGCACTCCAGCCTGTGCAACAAGAGCGAAACTCCGTCTCGAAAAAAAAAAAAAAAAAAAAAAAGGTGGTATCTCAAAAGGCAAAAGAAACCCTGACCCCCAGTGATGTGAGGCAAGAAATTGCAAAGTAAAATGCACTTGGAACACTCACTGGAACAGAGTGCAGAGTCTCCGGAGAGGGTGGTTATTGAGTACTTAAATGAGCAAGATGGGTGGGAAAATCTGTCAAGTGATTGAACTCGACACATGAGTCAGACACATCTGTTTTCTTATCAGCACTGCCACTCCCTGGGTTTGTCACTTTGAAAAGATTTGTTCACTTACATTGACTTCAATTTTTTAACTCTAAATTGCAATTTATTAGTAGAGCTTGAAAGGTAAGAAAATATTTACAAAGGACATAAAAGAGGTGGGTTTCAGAAAAATCTAATCTTTTTTTTGTTGTTAAAAATTCTTATGTACCTTTTTCTTTCTTAGAGTGAGTTTAGGAATTTTCTCAGGCATATTATTTTTTTTTATGGATTTCAAACAGAATTCCAAGGCTTAGATTTTGGAATGTTACCAAGGAAAAGAATAGGGAAAATCTCGCTTCCATTTTGGCTGTAGAAAATGAATACATTTCCAGAAGAAAATGTTGTAGATAATAGGTGGGTTACATGAATTCATGAAAACATCAGTTGTTTTTTCAGGGTAAATTTTTGACAGTGAATATCTCTGTTCTATATCCTGTTATCTTTATTTCAGAGTGTAATGATAAATGTTTTAGATGAAACCTGGTACCTCCTACAAGTTGTTCCCATATGACTAATTGTTTACTACATGATTTTTTTTTTCTTTTTTTTTGAAACGGAGTCTCGCCGAAGGCTGAGGTGCAATGGTGCAATCTCGGCTCACTGCAATTTCTGCCTCCTGGGTTCAAGCAGTTCTCCTTCCTCAGCCTCCCAAGTAGCTGGAACTACAGGCACACACCACCATGCGCAGCTATTTTTGTGTTTTAGTAAAGACGGGGTTTCACCGTGTTGTCCAGGCTGGTCTCGAACTCCTGAGCTCTGTCAGTCTGCCCCTCCCAAAGTGCTAGGATTACAGTCATGAGCCACCGTGCCCGGCCTATTACATGACTTTTTTTTTGAGATGGAGTTTCACACTTGTCGCCCAGGCTGGGATGCAGTGGCACAGTCTCAGCTCACCGCAACCTCCGCCTCCCAGGTTCAAGTAATTCTCCTGCCTCAGCCTCCCTAGTAGCTGGGCTTACAGGCATGTGCCACCACACCCGGCTAATTTTGTATTTTTAGTAGAAACGGGGTTTCTCCATGTTGGTCAGGCTGGTCGAACTCCCGACCTCAGGTGATCTGCCCACCTCGGCCTCCAAAAGTGCTGGGATTACAGGCGTGAGCCACCACACCCGGCAACTACATGATTTTTAATGGAAATAATAAAATAATACATTTGTAAAGGAATAGATACTTTTGCTTTTCTTATTGAGGTATGAAATGTAAGCATTGTAAAATTGCCTTTTTTTTTTTTTTTTTTTTTTGAGATGGAGTCTTACTCTGTCACTCAGGCTGGACTGCAGCCCCCGCCTCCTGGGTTCAAGCGATTCTTCTGCCTCAGCCTCCTGAGTAGCGGGGAGTACAGGCGCACGCCACCATGCCCAGCTAATTTTTGTATTTTTAGTAGAGATGGGGTTTCACCATATTGGCCAGGCTGGTCTCGAACTCCTGACCTCGTTATCTGCCCGCCTCAGCCTCCCAAAGTGCTGGGATTACAGGTGTGAGCCACCGTGCCAGGCCAAAATTGCCTTGTTTTTATATGAACATTGTTTGAATAATTTTGCTGGATTTTTCAAACACTTTTCAAAGACCAAGTGAATAACTCTGACATGGAAATTAAAGCTTGAGCCCAGCGACTCCAAGCTAAGGCTAGTATTGAGCCTGCAAAAGAAGGTTTTTTAAGGTCCAGTTAGTTCTTTCTGAGAGCCTCCCCTGCAGGTGTCCCAGCCTGCGCACCCCAGCCATGGAAGGAGCCTTTATCCTGAGAGAAGCTACAGAGCCCTGGAAAGCTGCTGGGGCCCCACAGGCAGATGCAGTTACGATTAAGGTGGAAGGGGACTGGGAGGATCTCACTGAAGATAAAGTTGTCCTTGTTTTGAGACAGTTTTTAGACTTTGTAAAATAGAACAAAGTTAGATTTGTGT